ATTTTCACCATAACTTTATTGTTTTCTATTTTTTAAAAATTTTATGTATGAATTTGGGGGGGGGGATATTGATTAGTTCTACTTATTTATGTAGTCATTGGCTGCTTCTTACATAGTATGCTTTCAGTTGGGCTCTAAGGTCAAACAAATGTACTTTCTACTCGATCACTACTTCATTTAACAGCCATAGACATATTTTCCCAGGAACTATGAGAATTGCTTCATACTTTGTAGACAAAAAAAGGAACCACATACTAAGCCTGACAAGCTCAGAGGAGGCCTGCATAGTGGGCCTTACAAAGTAAGAGTCCAAAAGTAACCACTTAGGATGGTCTGAAATTAAAGCTAGATATCTTCCCTCACAAAGGTCTATCTTTACCTTATCTGAGCCTATTGTCTTTTTCATCTGCAATAACTTACCTTTGGAATGTCAGGGTAATTTTATTTTTCCAGGCCCCTCAGGGGACAATCACTGCACCAGAGCAGAGACCACACAATTCCTCATTGTTATTGTTATCATGTTATTGTTAACTGTTAACTATCCTGTACCCACCAATATAAAAGGAGTATGTATCTATCATTTTACTTTTTATCCAATCCCAGAGATCCCTCCCCACTTTACTTTCTCCCACCTCCCTAGTAACCAGTCGATTTCATGTAACCCTCTAAGGTCTTTTCCTTTGCTTTTAATATATAAAATAAGATGCAGAGTTGACATTCTCCAGAGCATTTTCTCAGTCCCTAGAGATTTTGGTCCCTGGCAATTGTTGTCAGTTTGGTTCAAATAAACTCATGAAAATTCTCTATAGGGTTGTACGTTTCTTATTAATCAACAGAGGGAAACATACAAAAACGAAAAAAAAATGGGGTGTTACAGACCATATAAAAATATTAAATGGGCTTATTTCTCTATTTTTCCCCTACTCTGTATTTTCTCACTCCCTTTTAAAACAATTCATTCCTCTGGCAAACATTTATTTTACCTCATATTCCAAGCACAGTGCTCACTTTATAGAAAGGATATATCCCTGGGATGGTTCTAGATGGTTGATTCTCAATTCTTTTGCTAGGTCCTCTTCCTTCTCCTTTTCCCTCCTTCATTAATAATGAGATCATCGCCCTGGTCAAGTGGCTTGGTTGGTTGGAGCGTTGTCCTGTACACCAAAATGTAGCAGGTTCGATCCCCAGTCAGGGAGCCTCTGGGAGGCAACCAATTGATGTTTCTCACATCGATTGTTTCTCTTTCTCCCTCTCCTCCCTTTTTCTCTCCTTCTAAAAATCAATTTTTTAAAAAAAGCATCTGGTGTGTTTACGTTACAGACCTGGGTGGGGGCAGGGGGTGGGGGAAATGAGATCATCTTCCTTTGAGTCACCACAATTTAAAACCCTTAGAGTGATCATTTCTTAATTTGTTCTTTCCTATCCAGTCTGCCTTCTGTGATCGCTTATTGATTTTCTGTCTACAGTATCTTTTCTTCCTTGCTTCTCCATGCCTACTACATTTCCCCTAGTTTAGGCCATGTCCTTCTATTTTTGCTTTTAATAAAAATCTAATTGATCTCTACCTCCAGTTTCTCTCCCAAACAATTAATCCCATGTGCCATGGCTGAATCATTAATCTTCTAAAGCACTGACCTAGGCATTCGCGGCTCATCTTTTCCTCTGGTATAAATTCCAAACTCACCTGGAATTCAGTCTGTCACCACTTAGCTTCCAGTAGTCTTCCTTTAACCCTTGCCTTCATTGTACTCATGCTTCATTCCAGCCAGACTGTACTATGCAGTTAAAGGCACTTTCCTTGCTTTTCTGCCTTCTTAATGCCGTTTTTCATGCATCCAACTCTGTCTTTCAAGAGCCCACTTTTACGCCACTTTCTCCTTGACATCTTTCCTGATCTGAGCTCTCCTTCCCTTTCACCCTCTTTGCCAGGAATGATTTCCATACATTTTACTTATTTATGTGTTTCTTCTCTCATTGCGTGTAAGCTGCCTTATACATTTCTCTGTCTCCCACAATACCTAATATTAGGTACTCAGTAGGTGTTTACTGACTAAACGAGGTATATATATCCATTATGTGTTCATTATGACATAATAGCCTTAAGTTCATAAAGGTAGGAACTGTGGTTTCATTCTCATTCTGATTTTCCAGCCCCTAGGCACAAAGGAAACATTCAATAAACGTGTATTAAATGAAATACATTACAGTATTCAGTTATTGGGATATAAATTTCCTGATAGCACAGTAGATGTCTGGAAATAATACATGTTTGTTTATTTTAGTTACCGTGTTTCTTCATTTTACATTGACAAATAACCTATCATATTCTCACTTTCAGAAGAGGAAACTGAGGTTTTTAAAAAATTAAGTAGTTTATGATCACACAGAGCTGTATGAGTAACAGAACTGAGTCTAAAATTCAAGTCTTTACATGTGACGTTTAGAGTTCTTTTTCTTGGCCAAGGGTGGTTTTCCAAAGGCTAGTTTAGTTTAGTTCCATACAATATGGAATAGAATTAGGTCCTTGATTGAACCATTGTCAGTGTGTTGGATGTTTTCAAAATCAAAAAGACAAAACACAAAAACTATTTTCTGAAGAAAATCTTAGTTCTGACTCTGGATTCTCCCTCCAAAATGAGATGCCTATGTATTCAGGCACTCTTCTCCTTATAGGCTCCTCTCCCTGCTTGGGTTGGCTGTTTAGATGTGGATCTGATTTCAGCTGGCAGCATCGGGAGCAGGTCTCGGCATTTGCTAGGCAGTACAATCTGGTACTAACACTATGTGGTATTCATTGATGGTGTAGGAGAGTGAATGAGGGAGCCTTGCTTGGTACACAGTCAGTCATTCCCTTTTCATTTTCTTATACTCTTAAGTGAGATCAGCAGCAAGCTGAGCACCTCCTGTCCATATAAGTTGGTCTTTGCTCATTTGCCATCATGCTGGATATTAAGGATAATTAGAAGAAACAATCGTCTAAAACAGTTTCATCTATTATAAGGATATTGGAGGACATTATTCATTATGATACAACAATGTCTTCTATGAAAATTTCTTGAGAGAAAACTGTCTGCCTTAAAGCTTTTACTTGTCCTGAGTAGTTGCTTTGTTTTTACCTTATGGTCATTGTGAATATTTAACTTAATGCTCTCTGGTTAGCTGCCAAACACCTTAAAGCCAAATTTGTGGCCCACTCTTAACAAACGGGCGCTGCGCCTCATTAACTTTGTTCCTGGCTCCAGTTTATGTCTCTGCTGAAATTATTCTTTCTTCTTGAGAAAGTCTTAGTTCATGCCATCTCAGTTTATAGACAGACAGATACACATACCTAAAGAGCCTTGTATTGTTTCTGAAGTGGTTCACATTATAACACACTGTATGCACATAAAACCCTCTTTGGTCCTTCTTATTAGTTCATTTACTTTATTTACCGTATGTTTATTTTTTACATAGGCTTTGCAGGGTTTTGATTACATGAAAGTGGTTTTGCCACAGAATTTTATTTTCATAGTGTGAAAAAGTGGTAAAATAACTGACCTAAGGGTGAGAATTGATTAAATTGATGTCATAATTTTGGCATAGCCTTTCACAGCAGTATTATTTTCTAACAATATGCATTGCTCTGTAGTCTCAATCTACACGTGACAGTTTATTGCTTTGTGATTTTTAGAAATCTTGTCATGCTGCCCATGTCAGTGCACAGCAGTGAGCTCTCTGTTAGGCTCAAATATTGTTACCTTACCACACTTAATCAGACTTACGTATCTTTGTTAGCACCTTAGCTCAGGTGATCAAGAGCACATTAGTCTTGTCATACAACTTGTCTTGCACTTACTCTTAAGTCATGCTTTTGTTTGGACAAGATAATACAGGGTGGGCAAACATAGGTTTACAGTTCATATGGAAATAATATAATACAATAATTAACAAATAAACCTACCATAAACAACTGTAAACCTACGTTTGCCCACCCCTGTATGAATGCATATTTGTTTCTCAACTTCATTTGCTTTCATTGGCTTGGAGCTTTCTCCAAATTGTCTGATCATCTTACTAATAAAATCAAATTAATGACATAAATATTACTTGTACCAAGGTTTTGTGCTCTTTTAATATTTTCAAACAAAATTATTTGGCCTTTTCTCCAAACTCTCTGAAACATGCAAAGCAAATATGTGTCCTTTTTACAGATAACAAAAACAAAGACACATCACTTAAATGACTTAAGATGATACCAGCAAATCAGTAGTAGACACAGGGCTAAACCCAGGTCTCCTGATTCCTGTGCCATACTACCTATCAGCAACAAAAGAAGTCATAACTTATGTTACAAGCATTACATAGTCATTATCTTACCCCTTGAGGTTAAAGATGGGAAATGGGCAAATATATATCACTCATGCTCTTGGCTGGGCAGGATCAGGAATTAATTTCATTTGTTACTCATGATTTTCTGTTCTTGAAATTATAGTTCCTTTTAACTACAACTCTAATTCCTGTCACTTTACATTATGGAATGAGGAAGCAATATTTTATCTTATCTCTTGAAACTTAATGTTGACATGGAAACTATTTCCCTTGGTAATTAGTAACATTTTTTAGACTCTTTGAAAATTCATCTTTAATATAAAAGTAATTTGCCATTGTTATCATGCATATTTATTAAAGGGCCGTTTGGTATGGTTAATGCCATAGAGTTTGGTGAAACATTAGTTATAATTTTAACCAATCTCTACCCTTAAAAAGGAAATTAAAAATCCATGCTTACTGTTTCAGCATGGAAAATTTCCAAAGTTTTTATTCTACCTAATTGTTAACATGAAGCACTTATCCTACAGTTTTCTGAATGTTTACTCTTAGCCAGGCATTGTTGTTAAACAGTTTACAATTGTATTTAATCTTTACTAAAACCCTGTGAGAATAGGTATTAATTTATGATCCCCATTCGACATCCAGGTATCATATTCAACAATAAATGTTGTCTCCTGCCTCTCTTTCAGCTTCTGGAACTTCCGGGCAGCACTGGCCAGTGCAAGATGGACCCTGTAGTCTTGAGTTACATGGACAGTCTACTGCGGCAATCAGATGTCTCACTATTAGATCCTCCAAGCTGGCTCAATGACCATATTATTGGGTTTGCCTTTGAGTACTTTGCCAACAGTCAGTTTCACGACTGCTCTGACAAAGTCTGCTTCATCAGTCCTGAAGTCACTCAGTTCATCAAGTGCACTAGCAATCCAGTAGAGATCACCATGTTCCTTGAACCCCTGGACCTCCCCCACAAGCAAGTTGTATTTTTAGCCATCAATGATAATTCCAACCAGGCGGCTGGAGGAACGCACTGGAGTTTACTGGTTTATCTCCAAGATAAAAATAGCTTTTTTCATTATGATTCCCATAGCAGGAGTAACTCAGTCCATGCAAAGCAGGTAGCTGAGAAACTAGAGACTTTCTTAGGCAGAAAAGGAGGCAAACTGGCCTTTGTGGAAGAGAAAGCCCCTGCTCAACAAAACAGCTATGACTGTGGGATGTACGTGATATGTAACACTGAAGCCTTGTGTCAGAACTTTTTTAGACAACAACCAGAATCACTTTTGCAACTACTCACTCCTACATACATCACAAAGAAGAGGGAAGAGTGGAAAGATCTCATTGCCCGACTTGCTAAAAATTAGCTGTTGTATATTTGTGACTTTTGAAGTCTCTTTCTGCCTGTCCCCATTTGTTGGATGTCGAAATCTCAGTGCCTGAGGGAAGATGCCTGGCAGAGGCAAGTTTAGGATTCTTTCTTTTTCCTGAACGAATGACCTCCTCTGCATTATCCTAATGGAAAGTTTCATTTTAACCCTAACTTAAGAACTCTATGTTCTGTGAAAATGTCTTGAAGTTATGCACCAAAACCTTAAAACCAAGCTATTTTAACATTTATTAATTCCTTTTTGGAGGAAAAGGGTGGTCTCCCTTTGCCACATTGGTTAATTCCAAAGGAAAAGCAGTGATCCGTAAAAACAAGAATATGTGAAATCTAAAGAAGTGCAAGGAAAAAAATAATAGAACCAAAAAATTATTGTGTAGTCCACCGGCTGGAAGCTGATCAAGACCTAACCTAATTCGAGTTCTGAATATTATGAGAATCAATTATTCACTTCTGTGCTATCTCTTCTATTCACCATGCAAAGCTTGTCTCTCAGCATACCCTTTGCAAAGATTTGATAAAGATGATGTTAACCCATCTTCTTCCGTCTGAATCCTAGATACTTTAAGAAAGGGGCATATTGAGTAACTTCATTAAATTAAATGGCTCTGGTAGACCTCTTAGTTTGTGCTCCTTGAGCGGTCAGTTTGCTACTCTGAAATGATAAATGGTTTCCTTAATTTTGTGTATTAGCCATGCACACACTCCTTATATCCAAAGTTCTGTGGTGTTAAAACTCATAGCAAATAACTTCCCAAGGTTGTCTGTTACTTCAGATAAATATTTCTGCTTTCCAAGTGTCAGTTTTTTTTCTCTCTCCTCTCTACCCTTAATCTGGCAGAATTGTTTTCAGTTATATCATGGTGATTTCAGGAAATATAATATCTGAAATTTATAGACTAAAAGATTGGTTTGTTTTTGAGATACAAAAGAGAAAAAGTGACCTTTCTCAACCTTTTTTGCTTAATTCAAAATGCAAACAATTTAATTTTTAAAATGTGGAACCAAGAGTGAAAAATGCTGTCCTTCCTAAATCACTGATTTTTTTTTTTTTTCAGAGTATTTCAAATGGTCAACAACCAGATGATATATTGGGTATACATATTAATTCTATTCCTAATGAGAATTAGAGTTCAGCGATTATGACACTTGAAAACCAAAGGTCAGCTTCAGACATGAAACTGATTTCAGCTACCTCCCTAGCCTAACCCTGCCCCCAGCCCTCATGGCCCAAAATAACCTCCTACCCAGTGACCAAAGAGGCCATAACTCAGTTCTTTTCAATCAGGGAGGGAAAACACAGTGTAAATAAGTACTGGTTACACAGCAGGCCTGAGTGAACACAAGCTGAAACCAAAAGTCAAAGAGAAAGCTACTAAAGTTTCCATTTCAAGTCAGTATGTCTTGGATAAAAAGAACTAATGGAAGACAGGCAGAAACAAAGATTAGGAACTAGCTAGCAGTCAGCCGGGAAGGGACAGCAAGAGAAGTGACCTAAGTTGTTGAGGCCATGAGTGTAGATAATGATAAGAGAACAATATTTCAATAACTTGAGTAAAATCCTCTCTGGGAAATGTCTTTCTGATAATTCAAAGTGTTTGTAGACCCTGAGAAAGGGGTACCTACTGAGAAGGACTTTCTGGTGGTTTAACTGGACCCAAATTTTAAAAAAAGAGCCTAGCAGCCACTTCAACACAGGAGCCTCTCATGCAAAGTACCCCTCGGGGAGAAGCCTGCCCTGAACTGCCTGCTTGCACTGTTTCTACCGTCTGAGTCAGCCCTTATAGAGAAGTCCCATTTCAACCACTAGGACTGACACTTTCCCCATCTCATCAGAGCTGTACAGCTATATCCCCTATCAGCTTCCCTGGCCAAAGTGAGCCAGTTCTGACCAGTTCGGACAGTGCCTTTTGGACCAATTAAGCTGTGAGGATTTGGAGTCCTCATTTGCATGAGGATACCCCACTTAGGAGCCAGGGATGGAGGCTTATGTCTATGTCAGACAGCTTCCTCTGACTCAGAGCTCACTTTCCCTTTCCGCCAAATAATGCATTTTCCTGGATGGAGCTAAAACATGAAGATGTCTCGCTGGAGCAGAGCAGACCAGCAAGGAGCAGAGCAGAACTGTCTAGGCAGAAAGAGGCCTGGCCCCAGGGTCCCCCTTAAGCTGTGGTTTTTGTCACAGCCATGCTGTATCATAATTGCACTGTTTTGCACTGAATAAAGTTTTATTACTGTTTTTTAAAAAGATTTTATTTATTTTTAGAGGGGAAGGGAGTAGAGAGGGAGAGAAACACCCATTGGTTGCATCTCACATACCTTCAACTAGAGTCTGGCCTTTAACCCCAGGCATGTGCCCTGACCAGGAATCAAACTGGTAACCTTTCAATTCTCAGACTGGCGCTCAATAAACAGCCACACCAACCAGGGCTCTTTTTTTTTTTCCTTTTTAATTACATTTTATTGTTTATGCTATTACAGTTGTCCCAAAATTTACCTTGTTCCCCACCAACGAACCCACCCCCATTCCCACAGCATTATCTTTGTCTGTGGGTCCTGCATATATGTCCTTTGGCTACTCTATTCCCTATGTAGTACTTTATATCCCATGACTATTCTGTACCAACAAATTTGTACTTCTTAACCCCTTCACCTTACTCACCTATGCCCCCAACCTCCCCTCCAATCTGGCAACCATCAAAACGTTCTCTGTGTCTATGATTCTGTTTTGGTTCTGCTTGTTTATTTTCTTTTTTAAATTCAGTTATTGATACATATGCATTTATGATTACCATTTTATTCATATTTTGAGTATTACCATTTTATTCATATTTTGAGTATTACCATTTTATTCATATTTTGATCTTAATGAAGGCCCTTTAACATCTACAATACTGGTTTGGTGATGATGAACTACTTCAGCTTTTGTCTGGGAAGCTTTTTATCTGCCCTTCGATTCTAAATGACAGCTTTGTCAGGTAGAGTAATCTTGGTTGTAGCTCCTTGCTTTCCATTACTTTGAATATTTCTTATCAACCCCTTCTAGTCTATAAAGTTTCTTTTAAGGAATCAACTCACTATTTTATGGAGTCGCCCTTGCAGTTAACTGCTATTCTCTTTTGGCTTTTCACATTCTCTGATTTCAGTCTTTGGCATTTTTTAAATTATATTTTACTGGTTATGCTGTTACAGTTGTCCCAATTTTCTTCCTTTGCCCCCCTCCACCCAGGACCCACCACTCCCTCAGGCAATCCCCCCACCATTGTTCATGTCCATGGGTCATGCATATAAGTTTGTTGGCTTCTCCACTTCCTCTACTGTATTTTACATCCCCAGGGCTATTCTGTGACTACCTATTTGTACCTCTTAATCCCCCCACCTCCTTACCCATTCCCCCACACTCCCTCCCACCTGGCAACCATCAAAATGCTCTCTATCCATGATTCTGTCTCTGTTTTTGTTTGCTTGCTTTGTTTTTTTAGATTCAATTGTTGATATGTTATTTGCCATTTTATACATAGTTTTGATCTTTTAAATCAGTCCCTTTAACGTTTCATATAATAATGATTCAGTGATTATGAACTCCTTTAGCTTTTTCAATTCTAAATGACATCTTTGCTGGGTAGAGCAGTCTTGGCTGTAGTTCCCTGCTTTTCATGTCTTTGAATAATCCTTGCTAATCCCTTCTAACTAGCAAAGTTTCTTTTGAGAAGTCAGCTGACAGTCTTATGGGAACTCCCCTGTAGGTGTCTAACTTCTTTTGCTGCTTTTAAGATCCTCTTTTTATCTTTAACCTTTGGCATTTTAATTTTGATGTGTCTTGGAGTGGGCCTCTTTACATTCATCTTGTTTGGGACGCTCTCTGCTTCCTGGACTTCTGTGTCTATTTCCTTCAGCAAGTTGGGGCAGTTTTCTTCCATTATTTTTTCAAATAGAGTTCCAGTTTCTTGCTCTTTTCTCCTTCTGGCACCCCTAGGATGCTAATGTTGACCTCTTGAAGTTGTCCCAAAGGCTACTTACACTCAATTTGCGGGGATTCTTTTTCTTCTTGTTTTGATTGGTTGTTTTTTGCTTCCTTATGTTCCATATCTTTGATTTGAATCTCGGCTTCATCCACTCTACTGGTGTTTGCCTGTAAATTGTTCTCTATTTCAATTAGTGTATCTTTTGTTTCTGACTAGCTCTTTTTTATGCTGTTGAGGTCCTCACTAAGTTCCTTGAGCACCCTTATAACCCGTGTTTTGAACTCTGCATTTGATAGATTGCTTATTTCCATTTGGTTTAGCTTTTTCTGAAGTTTTGATTAATTCTTTCATTAGGGCTATGTTTCTTTGTCTCTTCCTTTTGGCAGCCTCCCTGTGTTTGTTTCTATGTACTAGGTAGAGCTGCTTTGATCCTGTCTTGGTAGTGTGGAAATATGGTAAATGTCCTGTAGGGTCCAGTGGCACAGCCACCCCATCACCCAAGCTGGGTACTCGAAGTGCATCCTTCATGTGGGCTGACTACGCCCTCCTCTTGTAGTTGAGCATTGGTTGCTGTTGGCAGATCAATGGGAGGGATTTACCCAGGCCAGTCAGCTGCAAGGACTGGTTTTGACCACCGACCACCAACCTCCGCCCTCTGTGGAGTAGCATCTGTGCAAGGGCAGGGTGGTGGTGCTCTGATGTGGTCTGTGGCTGTCCACTGGGTGCTCAGACCAAGATCAGCCCCCAACTGTGTTTTGACCGGGGCCATCCTGCCTGGGCTATAAAACAATCTGAGGTGGCTGCTACTTGTGCTGGGCTTGGAGATTCCCAGGAGAAGCCAAGCTGTGAATCTTGGCTGGCTGCTGCTAGTGCTGGGTCTGGGCTCACCGAGGCCAGCTGTTGCTTATTTGAGAGGATTTAGGAAGTTGTGAAGAATGAGCCAAAACCAGCCATTCATATGGAAAAGCAGCTTGGGTGGGCCCATAATGGGTGGGACGGAGTGTGGGGATCTTCAAGGTGGGATCAACACACAGTGTTAGCCAGGTTGATGAAGTCTCAGATATGGCATCAGCTTGCAGGCTCTGTAGCTTTGTAGTGGGGAGGATTTAGAAAAGAGACAATGACCTCTGCTCACCTTGATGCCAGACACTTCAGTTCTTGCCAGTATGCCACTGGTGCCTTTCATGCTGCTACCCCTATGCTGAGGGAGCTCAGAGGGAGCAAGTCTGAGTAGGTGAGTCTGTGTATGGGTTCTTTAAGAGGAACTGCTCGGGGCTCCAGAATTTTGTTCCACTGAATCAATCCCCACTGGTATTTACAGCTAGCCACTGGTATTTGTGGGGACTTATCCTCCCAGAAC